TTTCCTTTAAAAATACTATTTAAACTTAAGGCTTTTTTGTTCGTAGTTAGGATGGGAGGAGATCTAAATTCTGTACCAGTTAGAGACATGTTGGAAGAAAGTTTGTTTTTCTGCATGTAGTTGTTCTAAGAGGACATTGAAGCATGTGTTTCTTTATCTTACTTTGAAATAATTTAATTCTAGGAAGGCTGCATCACGTGATCTCTACCTGTCTAGCTGGCCCTAGCAAACTTTGTTTGCAGGACAAAAGTTTAACACACCTTTCACTTCTGTGTGCAGCTCTGTACCGATTACCCCATGCATAATTAGATAGGCATTCATTAAATGACCTCTAACAATTTGATGAACCAAACAGCTTAGTAATCCTGTATTTAAATTTAAAGGATTGCACCTGTTCTGTTCTCATCTCAATAACTGGCTTTCTGTTTTCTTTTACAGCGGCTTTCCTCACACAGTCTGTCTGCCTAGATGATACAACAGTAAAGTTTGAAATTTGGGATACAGCTGGTCAGGAAAGATATCACAGTTTGGCTCCTATGTATTACCGAGGGGCTCAGGCTGCCATTGTGGTTTATGATATAACTAACCAAGTAAGTTTTCACTGTTTGCTAATGTTCAGAGAGAAGTGAGTATTGTTAATGTGAAGGGTCTGCTAACAGGCAGTTTTTAGCTTCTTTAAACTCCTCTTCTTATCCTCTGCACATATAGATCATTTTGATGTGGGGCAGAAAATTTAGCCTCCTTCCATCTATATCTCCTGATGTAGATGGCTGTTTCCATTTATGACTGCTGGGTGCCAGGAGAGTTAAAGCCTCTCCCTGCAGACTGTCTTATTAGGATTGCAATCCTGATAAAGGTCACTGTTTTGTTGCAGTTGTTGTCTCCATTACCACCAGATGTTTGATCAGCTGGATGGTTGGGAAAAATAACTACCAGATTCAGAGCACACAGAACATTGGAGGTTCTTTCTGGGTTTTTGAGTTGCCCATTTAAAATAGGTGACAGTTGTTCAGAAACGCTATCCCTGCCTGATCGGAGACTTGCACAATACCAGTTTAATATGAGCACAAAATTCTTCACCACAGTGGTTGACTTTTGATTTCTTTGAAAACCATACATTGCTGTCTGTGTCTGTCAGGAGTGGGGATGGACAATCTGCAGCCCCTGGACCTGTTTTTTGTAGCTCCCTGGTAATTCACTGCTGAAATTAGAAGGCAAATTGCTACAAACAACAGATATAATTTTGGGTAGAATCATTGGAGAAACTTAACACATTTAAATAGCAAGGCTTCCCCAGATTGCAGAGGATTCTTATCCAGCCCATTTGTGTGATGTTACAATATTATTGTCCTATTATTGTCCTATCAGCTACCAAAAAGAGGGCAGTCTTTTGTCACCAAAACATTGCTTGGCCCCTAATTTGAAGAATATATGTGTGATCTTCTTGGTGCATTTAGTAAATACAACTCTTGCCCCAAAGAGATCAAATTATTCTGGACGGCTTAAATGATTAACTGGGATTTCTAAAAAGTACTGGTTAAAAAGTTATTTAGACTGAAATAGAACTTACTTGCAAATCACCATATTTAGATTTTCAGTTGAATATAGCTACTGTGGGGTGGGTTTGTATCTAATGTTCAGATCATATTGTATCTAATATTGTATCTAATATTCAGAATCACTCGGATTGAAATGGGCAGTTATGGAAATTGAATAAATAAAATATTCACTGATGACATTTGATATCTTATTTGGAAATGTGTGGGTTTTTATTGTATAATTATGTTGGCATTTTGATTCCTGCCATTAGCTGTTTGTTGCTGTGTTTATGTGAAGATAAAGCACTGTCAGTTTTATATTTCCATTAATTTAGCTTTATATTCAGCTAGCTTAAATGTTACAATGATAAAGGTACTCTTGTCTATAAACTCTGAAACTCTTGACATTTCCTGTACCGTGCAAGGGACATCATTTCTTTTGGCGTTACGGAGGATTTTAACTTTCCTTGGTCCATGCTCTTTGCGCATAAGGATGTGAAATAAGCTTACTCTTTGCATGTACATCAAATCAATGTGCACCTCTATTCCAATAATTATTTTCAGAATTGATGTAATATATATGTATTATAATAAGAACGTTGCTGTGCTTATCCATTTACTTATTCTTTTCTGGATGGATGTTCCTGTCAAAGATTAGGAGGAGGATGCTCTGCAACTAGTTTTAGTGATGGTCACTAGATTAGCTGGCTTAAGGAAGGAATTAAACTAATTCAGAGTAAATTAGGTACCATCTACAGACATTAAGAGCCAGTTTGGCTCTTAGTATTAACTATTATAGAACCATAAAAGGCCATAAAACTGTTAATGGAAACATTTCATATCTGTGGAGAATATTCTGGATGTAAAACTAATGCTCAAATAATCACTAGATTTTTAACACAAGAAGAAATTAATTTTTTGCAAGAAGAATCTGTCAGATAGCACTTTCAGTGAAATATCTTGAAAACTATCAAGAAATATATCAAAACAACTATGTTAAATTATGGCAAGAGATTAAAAGAGACCTTGAAAGGTGAAGGAACCTAAAGCTATCTTGATTAGGATCAATTGCCATTAAAATGAATGTACTACCCAAGATAAATTATTTACAGGTAGTCTTCGCTTAACAACCATTCGTTCAGCGACCTTTCAAAATTATAATAGTGCTGAACAAATGGTATTTATGACTGGTCCTCAAAGTTATGGCCCCCGCAGTGCCCCCACAGTCATGTAATCAAAATTCAAGTGCTTGGCCGCCACATGCATTTATAACTGCAGATGTGCTTCAACTCCCCCCACCTACCTATCTCCCTCCTCATCTCTGCCCTTTTGGTCACCCTGCATTCCACCAGCCCCAGCTGACCTTCACCATTTCTTCCCGCTGCTGATGAGGCGGCCTGCCCTCTCTGCAAGGCCACGGGGAGGCCTCGCAAGATGCCAGCAGCTGCCTTGGCCAGGTGCACTTCAGCAGCAGGAGGAAGAAGATGACAAAGGTCAGCTGGGGCTGGCGGGGGGCAGCAGGGGTAGGAAGTGGCAGAATGCAGAGCAGCCAAAAGGGCAGAGATGGGGGGGAGATAGGCAGATGGGGGAGTTGAAGCAAAGGTGAGCACAGCTGGGCAGGATAAGCGTGAGGCCCTTGCCTAATGACCGCAACTGGGACTACCAGAAAAAAAATTGCCATCACTAAGCGATGCAGTCACATGATATTTCGCCTAATGATCACTTCATTTAGCAATGAGAATTCCAGTCCCAATTAGGGTGGTTGAGCAAGGACTACCTGTACATATGCAGATATGGTCCACTCAGATTCTATGAATAGATTAAAAACACAGCAAGAACAACTTAGTGAAGGCTGGAATATACTATGGTTGATGTATCTATAAATAGCCAGAAAGATAAAATCAGATCTCAAAAAGGAAGGAGATATATTAAGGGGAAAAAAACTGAATTTGAAACGCTAATACAAAACCAACACCACCTATTAAGATGTATATATACATTTTTACTTATATATGACAGATACAACAAAGAAAAAAACTGTATGATAAAATGGACACAAAATTTTAAAGAGACAGAACACAACAATGGGAAGAATTATGGACTAAATCTATAGGATTTACACCAAGTTAAAACCTAAAGGAAAATTAGTATAAAATGTTCTACAGATGGTATACAACCCTATCAATAATGTCCAAGATAGATAAGTCATACAGTAATAGATGCTGGAAATGTCGTGAAACAGAAGGAATGTTTTATGACGTGGGGGACATGTAAAAAAATCCCCAAAATACTGGATGCAGAAAATGCAGAAAAGTGTGGGATTTAAATTTAAAATGAAACCACTTTTCCTATTAGGTATAATCTCAGAAAAAACAAGAAACATACTAATTTAATGAGATACATGCTTACAGCAGCAAAAATAAATTTCGTTCAACATTCGAAGAAGGATACAATTCTGACAATATGTGACTGGGAACTTAAACTTGGAGAATACGCAGCAATGGGAAAACTAACAATATATGTACATAATATAAGTTTAACAATTTAAGCAAGAATGGTTCCCATACATACAACACGTCATGCAGCACCGCAAATATAATCACAGTTTGACTTCTAAGGGGGTTTCTTTACAAATATTGCAAATCAGTAGATGTAAAAAAAGGGGAAAGTCAGAAATGCTTTAAAAAAAGCTTTAAAAAAAAACTTTTACTTTTTTTTCTTCTTTGCCTTCTCTTTTTCTTATTTGGTTTTTAGTATTTTAATTTTGTTAAACTTGCTTTATCCATCTATTTTTTTTATTAACACACACACATATACACACACACATATGCCAAGTAACAATACAGTGGAGATTTCAATACCGAGTAATTTAGCTTAAGACTGAAACCTTTATTACATAACAAATACCTAGGTGTATGTCTCAGCATGTTGTTCTTTCATCTCTTCCTTTTCAATGCTACATTTAAGTTTGAATGAAAAAAAATTATAATCACTTGTAACACTGAAATATATACTTTTCTTTTTTCTTTATTTCCAATACAGTACTATAAGATATCTACATAAAAAAAATCAAGAATTTAATTATACTATACAAATATCACTGTATTGAAATAATATAATGTATCAAGATTTATAATAATACAATAAAAAGGAAAAAAAAGAGCCAGTTTGCCACTTGATCTGAACTACTGAAATTAATAATAGGAGAGGAATACAGGTAGTTCTTGCCTAACAACCACAGTTGGGACCAGAATTTAGGTCGCTAAGCATTGCAGTCATTAAGTGAATCATCACACGACTGGACCCAATTTTACAACCTTTATTGTGACAATTGTTAAGCGAATCACTGCAGTTGTTAAGTGAATCCTGCGGTCATTAAGTGAATCATGTGGTTATTAAGTGAAACACGTGGTTCCCCATTGATTTTGCTTGCCAGAAGCCAGCTGGGAAGGTCGCAAATGGTGTAACCATCATAAGTGCAAGCTGGTTGCCAAACGTCCGGATCACAATCATGTGACCGCAGGGGCGCTGCGATGGTCGTAACTTTAGGCACTTTAAGTAAGCCACCATAACTTCAAACGGTTGCTAAACAAACGGTCATTAAGCAAGGACTACCTGTATTACCTTCGTGACCTCTTCCTTTCATGGCTTCCCAGAGTGATTTGGCCACTGGGAAATGAAATGCTTAAGTAGTTAGACCTTCATTTTAATCCAAAAGGTCTCCTTTTATTCCATGAAAATCAACCAGTTTGAGTAACTGCTGAAATATTGCATTGGTAGTAGTTAGGAAGCATATTTTTCTGATATTTTTGTGTTTTTCTTTTCTGAAAGGAAACATTTGCACGAGCAAAAACATGGGTGAAAGAACTCCAACGGCAAGCTAGCCCAAATATTGTTATAGCCTTAGCAGGAAATAAGGCTGATCTTGCCAACAAGCGCATGGTAGAATATGAAGTAAGTGATATCTCTTGATTAAGTTTATTTTTGGACAGAAGGAATTGTTCAAAGATTGGTAGACGCTTCTGTAATTCTGCAATACTGAACATCAATTTGGGACCATCCAGCTTAGTATTTTCAACTCTGGCTTTCTGATGCCTCCGGGAAATATCTTTGAGCCCTGTCCTTTTAATTAGAGGTAACTAGGATTAATATTTAGAGTTTCTGCATTGAAGGGTGGCCCCCAAAAGTTGCAAGTGTGGCATTCTTACTAATGTTCTATTTTATTTCATACTTAATAATATTTTTCATGCCTCTGACATAAAGCAAATATGTATTCCCCACATTTTATTATAAGGCCTTTACCATGAGTTACCCGTATTGCCATACTTAACAGGTAAGAGGGAATTATTGCTTTGAAAGAGATTCCATTATATTGATAATTTGGCCCAAAGGAAGTACATAATGTGGGTTCAGAATAGTTGCAGTGCATATAAATATAGTGCCTGTGGATGTGTGGAAAATTAAAATTTAAGAAGGGGAGGTTTACAAATGCAACAAGAAAAAAGCTCAGATCCACAGAATCCCTCAACCTTATTTTCGAAAGAAAAAGATGGTTCATGTACATGAAATTGTGATGCAAAGTAGGCTTGTGGATGCAGCTGCTTGGATGTACGGTATTAAAATTAGCAGTCTTTAATCACAGTTACAGGCACCAATTCACACCAGTGTACTACATGTTATTCACAATATAATATCACGTATAATATCACTAGGAAGTGAGAGTGATAAATATAAAAATTCAAAAGCACGTTTTTGATTGAGGAATTTCTGAATTGGCCCATGAACCCTTTGGTGATTACACTCTTAAAACTGTTACAATCTTCATGCCATTCTCCACATAATTTCCAGGTCTGTGAAGCAGCTAGAAATTGCTTTTATTAAATTAATAATGAAATAAAAAACAGGTTCAGGTTGCATAGAGATGAAATAGAATCAGCAATGATTATATACAATGTTGCAAGCTATTTTTATTGGATGTATATAATATCTTTCTTTCTAGACCCCAAAATGTACATTTTTCTCTTAATCCTCATAACAGCCCTAAGATCTAGCTTAGGTTGAGAGATGGATTGCTTCCTTTTGCCCTTTTAGATCTATGATATTCAAGGCTCAATGTGGTAGAACTCAGTAGGAAAGTTTTGTAACATGTGTAAACACAGCATTTTAAAGCTAAGGTAGACTCTGAAGCTCAGATACCATTTGCAGTTTGTTTACTGTACTTTTCCAAACTCCAGTCTTAGAAACTTATCTTTGTATGATGTTCCCTTATATCTGTCATCATGACAGAGGATCTAGATCAGGGTTTCTCAACCTTGGCAACTTTAAGACGTGTGGACTTCAACTCCCAGAATTCCCC